ATAAACAAAGTCATTTCATAATAACAGTCAATTCAAGTGGACATAAGAATCCTAAATTATATAGATATTTAATAATAGAGTTTCAGGATACACGAAGCAAAAACTAATAGAACTTCAAGGAGAGATAGAGAAACTTACAATTATTATAGTTAGAGATTTCAATATCCCTCTCAGCAACTGACAGAACAGTAAACAGAAAAACAGTAAGGATACAGAAAAACTAAATAACACAATTTACGAAGTCGATCTAATCGACATTTATAAAACACTCTGCCCAACAATAGAATACTTATTCAAGCACACACAGAATTTACCAAAAGATACCACAGTCTGGACATAAAATAAGACTCAAGGCCGGGCTGGTGGGTCACACCGATAATCCCAGCACTTTGAGAGGCAGAGGTGGGTGGATCACTTGAGGTCAGGTGTTCGAGACTACCTTGGCCAACATGGTAAAACCCCGTTTCTACTACAAATACAAAAATTAGCTGGGCGTGGTGGCAGGCACCCATAGTCCCAGCTAATTTTTGGGACTACTTGGGAGGCTGAGGCAGGAGAATTGCTTGAACCCAGGAGGTGGAGATTGCAGTGAGCCGAGATCAAGACACTGCACTCCAGCCTTGGTGAAAGAGTGCGTCTGTCTTAAAAATAAACAAACAAAATAAAATAAGACAATATATTTAATAGAATTCAGGTCATAAAAAGTATGCTCTTTGATCAAACTGGAATTGGATATCAATAACAAGAAAGTCTCTGGAAAAATACCCACATTTGGCTGGGCACGGTGGCTCATGCCTGTAATTCCAGTACTTTGGGAGGCTGAGGCAGGCAGACCACTTGAGGATAGGAGTTCGAGACCAGTCTAGCCAACATGATGAAACCCCACCTCTACTAAAAATACAAAACATTAGCCAGGCGTGATGGCACACACCTGTAGACCCAGCTACTTGGGAAGCTGAGGCAGGAGAATTGCTTGAACCTAGGAGGTGGAGATTGCAGTGAGCTGAGATTGTGCCACTGCACTCCAGCCTAGATGACAGAGCAAGACTCTGTCTCAAAAAAA